ACTGTTGTCAAGTAAAATTAACAAAGGTGAGTGGGGAAAATGGGAGGTGAGTAATTTATTTTTAGTGCTCTAAACTAGTTTAGGGGAAAAAGGTATGTCACCTGGATAAATGAAGCAAGAATCCTTTCTCAAGGACTATTTTTTTAAAAATCTCATCAATTACAAAAAAAAGACCCATATCTCATGAAAATCTACATGAACATAAACTTGAAGATTCAGGCTCTGTCCAAGTTAAGTTCAAGTTAAACTGAAAGAGATCAGTTCTCATGAATTCAGAGATTTAAGTTTATATAGATTGGATTAGGAATTGAAAACCAGACAAAGTCATCCTTTCTTTTACAGCTTAGTTCTGATTATATCTGCAACATATCAGAATAACTACCCTTGACATAAGCATGATCAATTTTTGATTTAGAACAAAAGGCAGAAGGATGAATTCACAGAAATTATGCCTACCTGTGAATGTGTTCTGAGTGATAAAATCCATCAACTCAAACACCTTGGAGAAAATGCCAGGTGATGCCCTTCTATGGTTACTTCTTAAAGTCCAACCTCTAGTCCAACCAGCTCCCTGGGAAGTTATCCCAGCAAGGACCCAGATTCCATTGCCTCTTCTACAAACAAATGGACTTCCAGAGTCTCCCTTTTGTGGGACAGAAAAAGATGAAACTTGAAAATATTCACGAGTTAAAAGTATTTCAGCACAGGGGTGCCTGGTTAGGTGTCTGACTTCGGCTCAGGTCATGATCACGGTCCATGAATTTGAGCCCCGCATCAGGCTCTGTGCTGACAGCTCAGAGCCTGAAGCCTGTTTCAGATTCTGTGTTTCCCTGTCTCTCTGGCCCTCCCCCTTTCATGCACTGTCTCTGTCTCAAAAATAAATTAACGTTAAAAAAAATTAAAAAAAAAAAAAAAAGCATTTCAGCACAACAACAAACAGCACTCATCCCAAAGACAGAAGTAGTAGAGGCATATATACCCACTGGTTACTATCAATCAACATTTTTTTAATCCATTTTTTTGCCTCTTCATCATTAGTTTCAAGGTACAGTCTTTTTGCCCAAATGTAACCTCCTTACAATTAGTGCCTGCAATCTTGTTGAGCTAACACTTAATTTTTCTCTTGCCCCTACTTGTTTGTGAACAACCACATGCATTCTGCAACCAGTGAAAGGAGCAGGGGGAATTGACAGGTACATTCTTCCGCTCTACTTTGCCATCTGGAATTGCTAGGAAAGACTGGGTCATATCTAGCCTACAGCACCAGTGAATTGAGTCAAGTTCATGCAATGGCTGAAGGCTCTCAGAACAGAACAGAGGCCTAATTTTGTCCCAGGGGCTATATGTATAGGACTGTTGGTTCTCAGAGCAGAGGATAAAGAACCCATGATTTTAGGATCCTTTCTTTAATAATCCTTCATAATAATGTGGTGTTTTGGGAACATGGGTCAATTCTGTGCCAGACTTAAACCCTCTTCAAAAGGCAGAGAATTGAGGGTTTAACCGCCCACCCCCCACGGATTGCCTCTCAAGGATGCAGACAGGATAAAACACCCTTAATCTATCTGTGTCCCGATTTAGAAAGTGGGATAATTGTAAATTTCTATCTCTTCCCTTTCAAACTCTCCCCGCTCCTTGTCCTGTCACCACCTGCTCCCTTGCTCCAGAACAAAAAAGTCAAGAAATTTTCCAACAGATAATTTTAGGGAGCTTCCTACAGCAGTTTCAAGCTGCTTGCTGGGGAAGAATAAAAACTCCCGACTCCTCCAATTAAAAAAAAAAAGTGGTTTTCCAAGTAAATTATCTTCTCTATCTAAAACTTAAAACTCATGTCTTTCACAAATTGGTCTCCTTTTCCTCTAACTTGTGAAGATTGGACTTCTTTATAAGCTACTGTAGTCAGCCTTGGGAGGTCATTCACAACATGTTTTAACCAACAGTTACCATAGCTGTGCCATCTTTGGTCAAACATTGTACAAACATTGCATTCTGCACTCAACACTTAAAAAAAGTCACAATGTTTAACAAAAAGTGGAATGAAAAATAATTCACAGATAGACCTAATCAGATAGAGCCAAAGTGCTCTTGCACCATTGCATTAGGTTGGAAATGTTGAACCCCCCTCCCCATCTTCCCTCCTTCCATCTTCCCAAAAAGAGGGGTGGGGGTAAGAATGGGCACGGAACAGGAAAGAATGCTCTCAGGCCAGGTCAAGTAAACCTTTTCAGTAGAAGCATGGTGGAAAGATGAACAAAAAAAGAATGTTGAAGCAATTATTCCCCAAAAGCAGCTCATGGGAAAAGGCAGAATCCACTATCACTTATATGATACTGAATAACTGGGCTGGCTTATGCTTTTTACCTGACAGGCCTCCTTTTCCCCATCAGGAAAACTGGCACACATCATGGTCCTCCCCAGGAGAGGAAAATTCATACCCGTCAGCACAGAATTACACGTTCTGTCGTCCATGATGGGAAGCTCCACTTCTTGTAGGACATCTGAATACTCTGATGCTGTGGAGATGGACTGATGAGTTAGTCAACAATTGTCCTCACTGAAACAAATCAGTAAGAACCCTACAAGTATAAAACTATTTCAACCATGTTTAGGGGCACCTGGGTGGCTCAGTTGGTTAAGCATCCCACTTCGGCTCAGGTCATGATATTACAGTTTGTGAGTTTGAGCCCCGCTTTGGGCTCTGTGCTGACAGCTCAGAGCCTGGAGCCTACTTGAGATTCTGTGTCTCCCCCTCTCTCTACCCCTCCCCTGCTCACGCTCTGTGTCTGTCTCTCAATAATAAATAAATGTTAAAAAAAAAAACCTATTTCAACTATGTTTAATCAAAATGTGGAAGTCCTTTTGTAAGGTGTGAATTATATTCTTTCCTAAAATCAGATATGTGATAAAGGACATTTTTTTATTAGCAGATTTTTTTTAAGGTAATATAGGCAACTGTATCTTTCCTAACCATATACTTCAAGTTTTCCTAAGTGGAAAACTTTAGTCAATAAAGCAGTATTTGTGAAATTCTTAATTTTGAAAAATCATAATATTAAAGACAAGGAAATTTAACTATTGTGACTATTTCCTGATTATCCCTTTACTGTATTCTTCTTCATCTGTCCTTGTTACTGCTGGTTTTCTTTTTCTGACACATCATAACCAAAATGGTCAGCAGAAGTTTTATGTTGAGCCTTAGATACAGACATTTTTATGGTGAAAACAACAAGAAATTCTCACTGGATTATAACTCGGGAAAAAAAACAAAAACAAAATAGGATAAATATATTACTCGTGGCCAATACAATTTCTGCTTCTAGCGGGCAAAGAAATCTAAAACTACTATATATTTTTTGATGCCTCTTACTCTCTGAAATCTTGCACCATCCACTGGTCATGCAAAGAAGCCCTGCTTCAAATTTATCATCTTTATGGGGAAGACAGATTGGCTGAACAGCAGTTCCTGGAAAAAGAAAATTTTAAGGTTCCTAGATAGGCAAGTGATGCTGAATATATTTAGAAAAGTAACATCCAGTTGTTTTCATGGCTTCTACACTTTCCCTCTAAATATAATATTGATATATATTTTAAGTTTTCCCCTCTCATAAAAAACTATTCCATATTTGTAGAAATTTAGAAAAATGCAGAAAAAGTAAAATAGGAAGAACATAATCCAGTGTTATACACACCACCTTGACCCTCCAAAACTAACATTTTAGGGTATACACTTGTCCTTTTTTTTCCCTTCCAAGATTTTATTTAAATTCAAGTTAGTCTACATATAGTGTAGTATTGGTTTCAGTGTAAGTCAGTGATTCATCATTTACATATAATACCCAATGTTCATCCCAGCAAGTGCCCTCCTTAATGCCTATCACCGATTTAGCCCATCCCCTCACCTACCTCCCCTCCAGCAACCCTCAGTTTGTTCTCTATCATTAAAAGTCTCCTATGGCTTGCCTTCCTCTCTGTTTTTATCTTATTTTCCCTTCCTTTCCCCTATGTTCATGTTTTGTTTCTTAAATTCCACATATAAGTGAAATCATGGTATCCGTCTTTCTCTGACTTCTTTTGCTTAGCAAAATAAACCCTAGCTCAACCCATGTCTTTGCAAATGACCAAGATTTCAATCTTTTTGATGTCTGAGTGATAATATTCCATTGTATGTATATATGTGTATGCATGTATCTTTTTTTATCCATTCATCAGTTCATGGGCATTCCATAATCTGGCTATTGTTGATAGAGCTACTATACTGCTATAAACATTGGGATTTATGTACCCCTTTGAATCAGTGTTTTTGTATCCTTTGGATAAATAATAGTAGTGTAATTGGAGAGTCATAAGACAGTTCTATTTTTAAATTTTGAGGAACATCCATACTGTTTTCCAGAATGGCTGCACCAGTTTACATTCCCACCAACAGTGCAAGAGGGTTCTCCTTTCTCCACATTCTCATCAACATTAGTAGTTTCCTAACTTGTTAATTGTAGCCATTCTGACAGTTGTGAGGTGGTATCTCATTGTGGTTGTGATTTTTATTTCTCTGATGAGTGATGTTGAGCATCAACATCCAAATTTCTCCAAATTTCTCTTCCTTGGAGAAATGTCTGTTCATGTCCTCTGCCATTTCTTAACTCGATTATTTTTGGGGTGTTGAGTTTGGTAAGTTCTTTATAGATTTTAGATACTAGCCCTTTACCCAGTATGTCATTTGCAAGTATCTTCTCCATTCTGTAGGTTGCCTTTTAGTTTTGTTGATTATTTCCTTCACTGTGCTGAATCTTTTTATCTTAATGAAGTCCCAATGGTTCATTTTTGCTTTTGTTTCCCTTGCCGCTGGAGTCTAGTAAGAAGCTGCTATGGCCAAGGTCAAAGAGGTTGCTGCCTGTGTTCCCCTCTAGGATTTTGATGGTTTCCTATTTCACCTTTAGGTCTTTCATCCACTTTGAATTTACTTTTGTGTATGGTGTAAGAAAGTGGTCCAGTTTTCCCAACAACCTTTGTTGAAGAGACTCTTTTTTCCATTGGATGTTCTTTGCTGCTTTGCCAAAGATTAATTGACCATATAGGCATGCGTCAATTTCTGGGTTCTATATTCTATTCCACTGAGGGTATACCCTTGTTTCTAAAGGATAGTTTCCCCTAATGGTAATCCAGTACTACTATGTGGCAAGCACTTTTCTAGACTCCAGTAAATTAGCAGAAAGATAAATCCTTTACATACAAGGGTGTGTGTTGGGGTAGCAGGAATGCAAATTATAAATAAAATAACTTATTTGGTGTTAGGTAATATCACTCCGGAAAAATCAGAGTAGGGTAAAGAAGATCCAAAGTCTGGGGATTAGGGAAGATGGCATGGGAAATGTAGTTTTAAATATGATAGTCATGGCAAGTGCCTTTGAGTAGATAACATTTCTTTTAGGTAGGCTTCATACCTAGCCTAGAACCCAATGCAGGGCTTGAACTCACCACCCTGATATCAAGACCTGAGCTGTGATCAAGAGTCAGACACTTAATTTACTGAGCCACCCAGGTGCCCCTGAGCAGATGACATTTGAGTAAAGCCTTGAAACCAAGTGGTTATCTGAGCAGAAAGTATTTCAAGAAAATAAGAAACAGAATGGAAAGTCCCTGCAGTGGGATAATGTCCTATATGCTTGAGAACAGTTGGCCAGAATAGCTGGAACAGATTAAGGGGAAAAAAATAGTGAAAAAACAAAAAACAGGCTAGATCTAGGGCCAAGAGGACAGAGATGGCAATTGATAAAAATACTGATTTCCATCTGAGTGTAATGAAGAACCACTGAAGTGTTTCGAACAGAGTGACATAATATAACCTAGATTTTAAAAGTATTATTCTGGTTGTTAGGTTAATAATAATTAGGCTTTCAAAAGAGAAAGCTAAAGACAATTTAAGAGACCATTAAAATTAACCCAAGCAAGAAAGGATGGTAGCCTGGAACAGGATGGTAAGAGTAGGCCGGGTGAGGCAGAAGCCATGGGACTTTTGTGATGGATTAGGTACACAATGTGAGAGAAAGAAGATTTAAGACTGAGTGCAAAGTGTTTAGCTTAAACAACTGGAAGGGCAGAGCTGTCATTCATCAAAATCAAAGGCTATGGGTAAAGTAGATTTAGGATACAGGGGACAAGATTCTGTTTTAAACATATTAAGTTTGAGATGTCTATTAGCCATCCGGGTGGGTGACCAGTAGGCAGTTAGCTATACGACTCCTATTAATCCCAGCAGCATGTGTGATAGGTAACATTTGGGTTAGTCTTCAAGCAGATGGTGTTTACAACCTTGAACCTGGATGAGAATACTAAAGGAGGGCAGATAGAGAAGAGGTCCAGGGACTGAGCACTCCAACAGAGGTCACAAAGAGGAGGAGGTATCATCATAGAAGACTAACAAAGGGTGCAAAAAGAGGTAGGAGGAAAACCAAGGGACTCCTGGAACTCAACTGAAGAAAATGTTTCCAGGGAGAGTATGAGCCAGTCTGTCTAAACTCGTGCCAAGTAAGCTGAGGATTGAGAATTTACCTTTGAAATTTAGCAACATGGAGGGCAGTGCCTGTGACAAGAGCAGATTTGGTGGCAGGTCGGGGTGAAAGTCTAATTTGGATGTCTAAGACCTAATACACACAATTATGAGAACTGAGGAGAGGAAAACAACATACCTCCCATAAGTGGAACTTCATAGCTTTTCTATAAAGGGAAACAGGGAAAAGGGCAATAGTTTTTTTTTTGGTCATAGGTGATGGGAATTCCAGCATCTAACTTGAATGAGGCTTGCTTGCTCATGATTATAGATCCTTCAGGGAACCTTCCATCCGGAGCCAAGATTCAAGCAGGTAAGTTTCCTGATACCCTCACTTTATGTGCCATATCTCTCTCTTTTTTCCCCCTGTCTTTCAAAGCATCACCTGTTGTGAAGTCAGGGGTTACATGAGAGACACAGATCAGATTCACCCATCCCCCACCTCTCCTGCCATATAGGCTCCTTGCATGACAAGTTAAAGCTCTAGGTTCTTAAAGGTCAATGGGATGCCTCAAGGGAAGTGGCTTCTTTCAATGCCTGGCCAATTCTTCTAGATTTGTGCTCCTTCATTGTTTTGGGTCATGGATCACTTTACTTTTTTGCATTAAAAACAAAAAGATTTTAAAAATTTTTTCTAAAATGTTCAGATTACCTGTGCTCAGTGTCAGATATCTAGTCCATAATGAGGAGAGAAAGAAGTCTCTGAAAACATTTTCAAATGTCCCAAAGTCCCAGGCTGGAGCTGAGTATAAGTCTAGAATATAGCCCAGTCAAGACAAAAGTCTTAAAATGCAGATTAAGTTAAGCATACAGAATTTGTGTCTGGGACTTTCAATCTTTACAGTGCTTTTATATGTTATAAACAAAATTTTAAGAAGGACAAAACTTAGCTATTCTAATAGTACCAGATATACACAGAAACTAATTGTTAACTGGTACAGAATTAATAAAGCACACTTTTCTCCTACATTTTTAAAATATGCTAACTCCCCTTACTTACCAAACTTGACTTTGTGTTTCAAATACAGCAGTGCAATATCAGAGCTCATATATCCAAGTCTGTTGTACTCAGGATGGATAATCATTTTTGAAACAGGAATCTTCTGTTCCTGTTTACCCTCCGGAAAGAGGTTGTGCCCCCCAGTCACAGTCAGACTCTTAATTTGCTTCCTAAAACCAAAGAAAAACGTTCCAATAAGTATAGCTGTTGCCCCCAGGAAAGACGGTCTTGTTTTCACTCACTTAAATGAAAAGTGATTAATGTAACTTGAAGCATTTCTAAGTCTTTTTTTCTTTTAATTTTTTTAACATTTTTTTTTCCAACGTTTATTTATTTTTGGGACAGAGAGAGACAGAGCATGAAAGGAGGAGGGGCAGAGAGAGAGGGAGACACAGAATCGGAAACAGGCTCCAGGCTCTGAGCCATCAGCCCAGAGCCCGACGCGGGGCTCGAACTCACAGACCGTGAGATCGTGACCTGGCTGAAGTCGGACGCTTAACCGACTGCGCCACCCAGGCGCCCCTCTAAGTCTTTATTAATGATTACTACCAACTATCATAATTGCCTATAAATTATAGGGATCTGTAAAGTCACGGCTTTCCATCAGAGTGTTCACATTCTGTGAACCCTTTCCCCTCTCAACAATTGCAGTTCTGCATGAAATATTTAAGAGCAGCCTCTTTTTCTTTTTTTGTACTAGTCTATATATGCTCTGCCATTTATTTTATTTTATTTTATTTTATTTTATTTTATTTATTTTTTTTATTTATATATGAAATTTATTGTCAAATTGGTTTCCATACAATACCCAGTGCTCATCCCAAAAGGTGCCCTCCTCAATACCCATCACCCACCCTCTCCTCCCTCCCACCCCCCATCAACCCTCAGTTTGCTCTCAGTTCTCAACAGTCTCTTATGCTTTGGCTCTCTCCCACTCTAACCTCTTTTTTTTTTCCTTCCCTTCCCCCATGGGTTCCTGTTAAGTTTCTCAGGATCCACATAAGAGTGAAACCATATGGTATCTGTCTTTCTCTGTATGGCTTATTTCACTTAGCATCACACTCTCCAGTTCCATCCACGTTGCTACAAAAGGCCATATTTCATTTTTTCTCATTGCCACGTAGTATTCCATAGTGTATATAAACCACAATTTCTTTATCCATTCATCAGTTGATGGACATTTAGGCTCTTTCCATAATTTGGCTATTGTTGAGAGTGCTGCTATGAACACTGGGGTACAAGTGCCCCTATGCATCAGTACTCCTGTGTCCCTTGGATAAATTCCTAGCAGTGCTATTGCTGGGTCATAGGGTAGGTCTATTTTTAATTTTCTGAGGAACCTCCACACTGCTTTCCAGAGTGGCTGCACCATGCTCTGTCATTTTTAACAAGATACAAAAGTTGTTCCTAGAACTGTCCTTTTCTTATTATCAGCATCTCTCTTAATCTGGCTAAGTATCAGTTTTTTTCACAGTATTCTTTTCCTCCTAATGACTGAAATTCGTATTATTAAAACGTTGGAGCCTCCATTTAACAATAAATGTCAATAATTTATTAGAACAAGTAGCCATCGCCCCCACCTCACCACTAACTCCACAAATTATAGAGGACATCTAGGATCTCTGGGGTCTCTAGTTAGTAGAGTAGGAGGCACAGGAAATCTTGAGATAAAGGTTTCCTGGGATCAGGAAGGTCAGTGAGTGGGTGGACGAGGTGGAAAAATTCAGAAAGGGATGGGGATTGAACTTTGCAGGGTATTTAGAGCTTCAAATCTCTCAGTCCCATTGCTAGGAGCCAAGGTTTGATAAGTAATGGAAATCCACAACTTACTCATTGAGGCCAACCAAGCAGTGTGCTGCTGTAACAACCAGATCATCTTGGATCAAGCTTCCTGCACAGAATCGGTGCTCACCTAATTTTAGGGAGACCTGCCAAGAAGAAAAGTATGAACACAACTAATATGCATCTCCCCGTGATGTCATCTCCTTTAGAAACACTTGAAGTCAACTCTCCTTGTATAACATTCTTAAGTTACCGATGCAATTGGTTAGGAAGAGATTTCCCTCGAAGTAAACTTTTTGGCAGACAGGGTTGAATGGGCTTAAGAGAAAAATCACCTGTTAACCAAAGCTGTGATATTGGAAACCAGAGGAAAACTGTCAGCATTTCTCATTCAAGAGCTCAGTGCTTTGGTTATCCTGACCTGCCACGGTTGTCCACCAACCGCTGAATCCCTCCAGCGAGTACTTCCAGAGAAGAACCCAGAATCCAAGACAGTTGTCCTACGTTCGACATCAACAGCAGGGATCCCACACTTCAGCCCTGTGTGTGAGAGAGAGCACCTGTGTGTGTGGGCACGCACCGGGAGCACCTCAGGTCAGGATTCCTTTGATCAAGACTCGACCTTCAGACTTTCCTGGCCTCACACAGATGTTCTGATATCACCAAGCAGCAGACTATCCCTCTTTTTTTCTCAAGATACTCCCAAGACTATCCCACAATTACCCCATGTTGACTAGAACTTGCCTCAGGACTCCCCTGCCTCTTTATAGCCTGAGCTGCGTTAGGGAGTCCCCGGGGGCTTGGCGGGGGGGGGGGGGGGGCGGTAGGATGAGCTCGCTTTCCCTCTGGGGATCGATTTGGGGGTTACTCTGGGAGGGTGAGCATTACGTAAATTAGGTGGTCATAGAACACTATTTGTTACTCAGAAAAGAGACATTTGGCTTTAAGCTACTTCTAATTGGCGATTGTTCCGTGGAGAAGGCGCCTTAGCATAAGTGCCTAAAGCCTGGAACTCCAGAATCCAAAGAATTTCCAAAAGAAAACCTGGCGCAGGCCCGTCTTTGGGAACTAACTTCTGGGCCTGTACCGGCCCCTCACCCTTCCCTCTCCGTGGCCGAGGGAGTAAGGAAGTCTCTCTCCCTCGCCAGCACTCAGCCCTGGGCCGCAGCCTCGGCGCCCAGGGTCCGGGGTCCGGGCTCACCTAGGCTTTGGGGGAGGCCGACGGCGAGCAACAGCAGCAGACCCGCCCCGGCCAGCGCCCGCATGGCCCCCACGCGCCGGGACTCCGCCCCGCTTCCTCCGCCGCAGCTGCGGAAAGCGGCGACAGCAGCGAGCCCCCGCGGAGCGCCCGCCGCGCTCTTCACTCCTGCGCGGGCGCCAATGAGCCGCACCTGCGGCGCCGGCCCGCTCACAGCTGTCTCGGCCCGCGCTCAACCCACGCGCGGCCGCCCCACGTTTCACAGCTACCCGCCTTCTGGCCTCGAGGTGGTCGCCGCTCACAGGTGTGCAGAGGGCCCTACCGTCAGATCCAGGTGATCTGGAATCTGATCAGTGGCCTGGAATGCTCGGCGCCAGGGAATTCTGGGCCAGACCAGGGAGTGTGGCCCAAACCCAGGGGCGAGGAAGCCCCCGACTCCTGGAAGCTTACTGAGGCATTAATAGCACTGCCCCTACTTCTCCCAAGCTTGTGGAAGCCTTTGCCATTCAAGAATTTCAAATAGAGTGGGTATGAGAGAGCTGGTTTATGCTGTCATCCCTTTTCCGGGTGGTTGTGTCATTAGCTTCAGTGGAATGGGCCAAAGCTGTAGGATCCATCATTTAAGATCATTAAAATGAATTCATCGGTAATACTATCATGTCAGCATTATTTCCCATAAATATTACTTTGTAATATGTTAGCTTGAGGTTGAGAGAGGAACAAAGCCAGAATTTGTAATGTATGTATGTTTCATCAAAAAAATTAGAGCAAAGCTCGTGGACATTCTATATATAACTAACACCAATCTCCTAGGCCCAGTTGTCTTCTGTGAAAAATAGAAATAAAACCTCCTTAAGGTAGGAGGTATACAGATTAGGGAGATAAGCAGTAGACAGATGGACAGGAAAACAGAAGATAGTCAAGGTGGAGGGAATGCAGGTACCGACAGGTGAGAATCAGCTGGGGTTAACGACCCCTGTAACTGTAGAAGGTAGCAGAAGATGAATGGGCACCTTTTGGTGAAAAACTAAAAGAATGTAATTGGCCCTGAAACTTGAAAGTCTCCTTCTTATCTCATGAACCTAAAAGGGGTTTCTCGGATTTCTGTGTCCCATCTTACAACATTAAGAAGCATTGTCCGATTCGAGGCACATGTGGTTAAATTAGTAGAAACTAAAGTAAAAACATTAGTTCCTCAGGCACACTAGGTATATTTCAAGGGCTCAGTAGGCATCTGTGGCTAGCGCCTACCATATTGGAGAGCAGATACAGGATACTGCCATCATCACAGGTAGTTCTATTGAGAACTGCTCTTGAGAATAAATAGCAAGCACCATTTTATTTATTTATTTTAAATAAAGACGCTTTGGATAACAGTTTTAGTAGATGACTCCTGGGTTTGGGGCCTGGGTGTCCAGGGGACAGTTGGGAGGGAGCTCAGTAAGGTAAGCAGCCTTTCTGTGAAAACAAAGCCCTGCACCACCAGGGCTCCACGCTTGAGGACTGCAAAGGAAATCCGCAGGTATGGTGGCTGCCTGACCAATGCCGCTCACCACCTCACCTTTAAAGTTTGCTTTCACTGTAGTGATCTTACAAGGATTATCAGAGCCATCCCTTGCCCCAGGGGTAAACTACTCTCTAATAAAAGCTCAGACCCTCCGGATGGACCCAAATACCTCTTTCTTCTTAGCAAGGAGTCAGATTAAAACCATTACAAAGCTGTTACCAAACAAAATGGGAGAGGGAAAGAAAAATGCTCATGTGATGTGCAAGTATAGTTGGACCCACAGTGTTCAAGTTCATGGCTAACCTTTACATGGGGCCTGCAGACTCCATCAGTTTGCACTCTTCTGCACATGATGCACACACAGCTTTGCAGGATATTTAGTGATTTCTTTCATACCCAGAAGTCTCCATGGGGTTGGGCATGGTCTCATTTCCTGTTACAGAACAGCTCTCTTTGTTTCCAGAGTTCAACACTCACAGCCTGAAGTGAGACCTTGTCCTTTTATGAGGATTGGTCCCTTATAGGCCTACCAAAATAATGCCTTCCCATTAAATAGGAAAAGAGCTATTCAATATGAATTGTACACCTATTTGATAGGTTGTTCGTTTTAAATTTGCTAGTAAGATGACGGTTTAAGTATAAGTTGAGTTTGTGGTGATGTCACAGCATCTAAATGGAAATATTCATACACACACGTAAGGGAAGGATGTCAAGAAGGGACAGTGGGCTGAACTATCCCAGATTGGATTTGTGATGTATGAGAAATCTGCCTTTAATGTGAACATATCTTCATCATGGCAGGATACTCTCCTATTGGAGGCCTTCCAAGACCCTTAATGAAACCCCACCTCTAAGGATAGTTGTACAATTAGGAGTGTTAGTGACTAACCTATGAGCAATGAGCAAATCATGGGCAGATAATGTTTTGTGTAAAAAAATTTTCCCATCCAGACTAAACCACTGATGTAAACTCTAGAACCCTCTCCCATGTCCCACAAGGGATTTTGCACTAAGATTCAGCACTAAGGGGATTATTGGTGACCTCAGAAACAGCAATTACTTGCATGTTTGTTGCAGGGACAGATCACTATGAAGCAGAGAGAATGTGAAGGATGGAGGTAGAAAAAACAGGTGAAGACAATTCACTCAAGTAGTTTGGCTGAGAAGGAAGAAAGACATGGTAGCAGCTAGAGATGAAAAGAAATACAGAAAGGACTTCATTTTTATTTCCAAATGATTTTGATGGTGGCTATCGGTATATGTGTTTTAAAATAGAAGAGAATTCACAAGAGCCAGTAGAAGGAAGAAGTTAAAGATGAACAAGAGAGGTTAAGGGATGGGATGAAGCTTCACAAGAGGCAAAATCCAGAGCCTAGGGCCCTCTTCTTCCACTGTAGTAATAGGAGCGGGAAGAATTGAGTACAGGTGAGTTTGTAGAATGAGTATAGGATACTGAGAGAATATCTGTTTTCTACTTTCGTTTATTCTGTGAAGAGGTGAAGACATCTACTCAGCAAGATGAGAGGAAGAGATCAGGACTGCATAAGGACTGAAATCGTCATTGTGAGGTGTGCAAAAGCGCAGACATGAAGCACACAGAACAATGCAGTGAGTGAATGAATGAATGAATGAATCAGGGAAGGAAGGAAGTTTTTTTTCTTTTAAAGCAGACCCATCTAGTGACATGGATTTCAATGGGTACTAATCACAGAGCACTTGAGAGACTGAAAGAGACATAATTATTTTCATTATATTTTATATAAAATAAACATTTACATAAATTTTATTTTGGAAAGACCTAGGCAAAGTGTACATAATTGGACTTAAACGGGAGAAATACTTTATGGGAAGTAGATTTCTAACTGGCACAGCAAAAGTAACAAAAATGTACATTTATATACAACTGATCAAAGTAGGAAACAAAACCATGAACAAAGAACAGGCTGCAAGACATTTTCTCCCTGATAAAAGGAGGGATCTGCAAGGCAAATAATTTCCACGTTAGAAAAGCAAGCCATGGCTTCTACAGATATTTTAATTCCTTAGGAGGAAATTTTTAAAAATACTTTTTCCCCAGAAACATAACAAAATCACTTCATTTTCATGTGTACAGACTGCAAAATAAGAGGAACTGTCTCTGCCATGTTAAAGCACTTGGGCAGTGCAGTCCCTTTTATGGTTGTTTGTGTATGTGTTTTGATGCGGTGATTATCTTAAGAATTTCTAAAATGAAGGGCAACACTAATCAGTTATCTCTTCGATGTAAAGGGCTTTCAATCTGGATTCAGGAGACACTTAGAGCTTGATAGTTTCACATAACGAACTAGTCTCTCACTGGGTGATAAACATGACTGAAACACCAGGTAGCCTGCCCAGGGTGAGGCAGTTCCTCCGGGGCAGTACAGGTCTACCACCCAGATTTCCAGATTCTTGGACTGGTGCACCCCTCTTTGGGCTAGCAAGGCAACCCCAAAAGCATGTTATACACACTGGAAACTTCCCAATGTGACATAAATACACTCCACTTGCACCACTTGAGAATGGGAAGAAACTCCGGGATTTCTGGACATAGACATGTCTTTCCATTTTGGGGTAAATGATGATCTACACTTACAAACTAATCGTGACCATATATTGTGATGGACACTGATTTTACAAGCTACATGCCCTAAAAGACTTTAACCGAAAGGATCTTTGGTGATAAAAAGAACACACTTTTATATGAGCCATTTGACTGACATGAATATCATCAATTCTGTTGCATCATTTTATTTTGCTGATATTAAACCACTCCTTTGATTATAGTTATTTTATTTCTTTCTTCCCTTTAAGTTAATGGCTCCTAAAAACAAAAATAATGGAGGAGGTGCTATTTTTTGAAGAACTATTCAACATAATTTTTTACATCAAAACTTCAAGAATAATTATAAAAGTTATAATGTTTCCGTGTGTGTGTGTGTGTGTGTGTGTGTGTGTGTGTGTGTATTTGGCATAGTAAGCTTTTATCTTAATTGCAGCCTAAATGCAAGATTTGATAGGTCTTTACTCTTTTAAAATGCCAAAAGATGTCAGATAATTACATTTTGTCATCATTGGGATACCAACATGCCATTTAATCAAAGTAAATGTGATCTGGAAACTAGGTGAAATATTAAAAACAAACAAACCGCCTACAACTACATTTGCCTTGATTGTTGTTACTAATATCCTATAGGTTGATTAATGTAAGAGGCAAATCCTCAACACATCAGAGCAAAAGTTTTTTCGTTTTCCCCTCAAAAACTGATT